GGTATTATACCCCACACCGCTAATTAGGTTGCACATTACATCCATAAATAAATCCATTAGCGCCATGAATAAGTGTTTAGAGAAAATGTGGTACCCTGACGCCAAAAAGAAGTACCTTCAGTTCAAAAACGTGGTCCTTTGGGAAAAAAGTGGTACCTTCGCAAAAGGGACTTATTTTTGCAATTGAAAATGGTATTACACCCGCATTTCTAATTAAGTTGCACATTACATCCATAAACAACTCCATTAGCACTATGAATAAGAGAAAACGTGGTACCTTTTTTCCAAAAAGTGGTACCTTCAGTTCAAAAACGTGGTACCTTTGGAAAAAAAATGGTACCTCCGCAAAAGGGACTTATTTTTACAATTGAAAATGGTATTACACCCCGCATTTCAAATTAAGTTGCACATTACATCCATAAACAACTCCATGAATAAGTGTTAAGAGAAAACGCGGTACCTTTTTTCCAAAAAGTGGTACCTTCAGTTCAAAAATGTGGTACATTTGGAAAAAAAATGGTACCTCCGCAAAAAGGGACTTATTTTTACAATTGAAAATGGTATTACACCCCGCATTTCTAATTAAGTTGCACATTACATCCATTAATAGCTCCATTAGCGCCATGAATAAGTGTTTAGAGAAAACATGGTACCTTGACGCCAAAAAGTGGTACCTTTAGTTCAAAAATGTGGTACCTTTGGAAAAAAAGTGGTACCTTCGCAAAAGGGATTTATTTTTGAAATTGAAAATGGTATTATACCCCACACCGCTAATTAGGTTGCACATTACATCCATAAATAAATCCATTAGTGCCATGAATAAGTGTTTAGAGAAAATGTGGTACCTTGACGCCAAAAAGAAGTACCTTCAGTTCAAAAACGTGGTCCTTTGGGAAAAAAGTGGTACCTTCGCAAAAGGGACTTATTTTTGCAATTGAAAATGGTATTACACCCCACAGTGCTAATTAAGTTGCACATTACACCCATAAATAGCTCCATTAGCGCCATGAATAAGTGTTTAGAGAAAACGTGGTACCTTTTTTCAAAAAAGTGGTACCTTCAGTTCAAAAACGTGGTACCTTTGGAAAAAAAATGGTACCTCCGCAAAAGGGACTTATTTTTGTAATTGAAAATGGTATTACACCCCGCATTTCTAATTAAGTTGCACATTACATCCATAAACAACTCCATTAGCGCCATGAATAAGTGTTAAGAGAAAACGTGGTACCTTGATGCGAAAAACTAGTACCTTCAGTTCAAAAACATGGTATCTTTAGAAAAAAAGTGGTACCTTCACAAAAGGGACTTATTTTTACAATTAAAAATGGTATTACACCCCACACCGCTAATTAAGTTGCACATTACATCCATAAATAGCTCCATTAGCGCTATGAATAAGTGTTTAAAGAAAACGTGGTACCTTGACGCCAAAAAATGGTACCTTCAGTTCAAAAACGTGGTACCCTTGGAAAAAAAGTGGTACCTTCGCAAAAGGGATTTATTTCTGCAATTGAAAATGGTATTATAACCCATACCGCTAATTAGGTTGCACATTACATCCATAAATAAATCCATTAGTGCCATAAAGAGTACAAACTTTATTCCAATCTATCTAACTTGAGGGAATGAATAATACAAAATATACTCCAACATCACTTAAAACATTGTTTCTTTGCTAATTTTTATTTTTTTTTTATTCTATAAGATATCCTAAAAACAATTATTCTCTCCCTAATAGGTAAAGACGCTGCTTTTAAGCCAGTTCCATTATAAAATAGTACTTTGCAAAAAGTTCTCCTTACTTGATTAGTGTCCTTAGTTCTTCAAAGATTTTCTCCCGGAACGGAGCTCTCAACGATTGTAACTTCCACCAGCGTTCCTTAAGCAATTTGATAGAGTTTTACCTTCCAAGTCTATAATTAGGAGTTATGCAAGCAAATCGTAGCGGGTTGAAGTGAGAGAGGTTAACAACACAAAATATTTTTACAAGGGTTGGCATGAATTTATGGAAGACAATTCACTAGAGTTCGAAAATTTCCTAGTATCTTATTATATATACTGAGGAGATTTCCTAGTATTTTATTATATATGAAGGAAGAACATTTGCTGGTTGAAGACAATGGCAAGCAGCAAAATCCTATACGTGGGAGGGGTCTCATGGCCTCACGAAGTGTCGTGAGGAGTTAAAAATGGAATAGTTTCAAAAATGAGGAGTTAAAAATGGAATAGCTTATAATGCTATAATGAATAGAAGCCAAATAATAGCAAAATAAATACAGGGTACATTTGTAGAAACACAATCAAAACGTTTATTGACGGAAAAATAAATACACACTTGAACACATTGAAAAATAAATACACACCAAATCTCGATGGAGGTGACGACGATTATATGCCAGGTTAGTTTTACATAAAAAAAATGAACCATCGATGTGAGGAGTTAAAAATGGAATAGTTTTGAGAACGATTGAGAATGTAAAACAACTACTTTCAATCCACGCATCTCTTAACGAGTACTTTCGTTCTATATACTTTCAGTCCATAGATCAACAATTGAGATTTACTAGTGCTAATGTTATGGTTTTGTGCATATGCCATATGTCTATTTATAGAGCCCAATTCACAGACATGTGAATGAATTTTACCCATATCATGATTTGACAAAAGGGACTTACACATCTCTCTCTTTGGCATGATAGGGGTGTCTTCATAATAGTTGTCGTGTTATACACCTAACACCACTATTTTTAACTTTACCCATGTGATGATAAGATGAGAAAGTGGATTGGTTTTGTGTATCTACAAGAGTTGATTTTTTCAGTGAGAGTCATATTCTGTGACTAGCCATGTAATTGAAAAAAAAGCCAAATAATTTGAAGTGGCCTTAGACCATGGCAGATAAAGATGAATGGTCACATCATCAAGAAAAAGCCTTAATGTTTGAAAAAGTTATAAATAGTGGCATTGTTGTCATGAGGCAGAGTATTGACATCCCTATTTGTAATTACAATTTACTAATCTAATGTTTTTATTTTAACAAAACTATTATAATGTTAATTTATTTTTTAAATAGATTTCTAAGTGCACTTTGATTATGTAGTATCTTTATTTTTTCTCATATTTGATCAAAGCTATTAAAAAATCTATATGTCAGATGTTGCAGGAATGAGAGCATTTCCATTGCAAAGAAGATGCATAAGGATCCAATTGAAGTTATTCAAGCCATTACTAATGATCCAGACTTATAAGTTGCTTCAGAGTTGTCAGATTATTCAGATACAGGGGATGATGACTTTGTAATCCCACCTCCCCGTTATTGCTCAAAAAAACTTAGTAGTTGAGTTAAATTTTATGCAGTATTTATATGAAATGTATGAATCTTTACTAATTTTATGCAGTATTTTTATGAATTCCACCTCCCCGTTATTGCTAAAAAAAACTCAGTCCTTGAGATTTACTAGTGCTAATGTTATGGCTTTGTGCATATGCCATATGTCTATTTACAAAGCCCAATTCACAGACATGTGAATGAGTTTTACCCATGTGATGATTTGACAAAAGGGACTTACACCTCTCTCTTTGGCAGGAAGTGGGGTGTATTGCATAATAGTTCACGTGTTTATGCACCTAGCACCACTATTTTTAACTTTAGCCATGTGATGATAAGATGAGAAAGTGGGTTGCTTTTGTGTATCTACAAGAGCTGATTTATTTAGTAAGAGTCCCATTCTGTGTCTAGCCATGTGATTGAATAAAAAGCCAAATAATGTAAAACAGCCTTACACCATGGCAGATAAAGAGGTATGGTCACATCATCAAGAAAAAGCCTTAGTGTTTGAAAAAGTTATAAATAGTGCCATTGTTGTCACGAGGCAGAGTATTGACATCCCTATTTGTAATTACAATTTACTAATCTAATGTTTTTATTTTAACAAAACTATTAACATGTTAATTTATTTTTTAAATAGATTTCCTCCTATAAATTATTTATATCATTTGGATAATCTTTAAATTATTTCATCCATCACTTTTTCAAGTTGTGCATGAATGGTGTCTGCCTATCACTACAACAAAAAATTCATTGTACATTAAAAAAATTCATCATTTACTAAAGTTCCAAAACAATTCACCATTCATCAATGTTCCAAAACAGGAACAAAATCCATTTGTCAAGAATATTATCAATTTCCTAGCACTGCTGTTTAGCAAATTTATAAACCTTCTAGCACTTGAGTTTCAGTCTGCACTTGTCAAAAAATCACCTCATTGTCCATGGTACAAAATCCAAGCAAGTAGCTGCATCACACAAGTCTCAAATTCAGTATGCTAATCACAAAAGGGAAAGAACAAGATTGTCATTTATGAATCAAATAGATATCATCATCATTGACAAACAAAATGTAGCGAAGAAACTATTACCAAAACGTACGAACAAAATAACATACATAAATAAACAAAACCAAGATAAGAGAGACTAGTGCTAATTTGGGCATTTGGCAACTTAATTCCGCCTACTCCTGATAAACAATACTGCTTTCCCAAATGGAGGTCTAAATCCCCGTGACCCGCCTAATTTAATTCCAAAGGTTTTGTATTTTCATCTAAATTTTGGTATACACCCAGAAAGACCAATTAATTATATTGGATTCTCAACTACAGGTATAATTTAACTTGATTATCAGTGAACAAGATATGTAAGTAGTAATAGACTAAATAGTAAAGGGAACCAAGATCCAGTATAGGATATTTTCTGCAAGGGGTAAGAAAACAGGATCATAAAAGAACTGGACAAAGAAACTGCAACTATATTTCAAGATTAACAAGTTAAACATCACCTTTTGAGTCTTTAATTTCTTTAATAACCCTACTTTGAGATCACTCCTGCACCAACACAGTTTTTTTTTTTTTTTTTTTTTTTAGTATTTTCTTCAGCAGTATCCTAAAGCCATCATCCATACCAAGACAGTTTTTGGTTTCTTTTAATTTTCTAATACAGTTTTCTAATACAGTATGTGATTGTTCCAATCAAGAGAACCAACCCTTGAACTATGCCCGTCTTGCAAAGTCCTCAGCTGTTCAGAAAAACCAAGCAAATTAGAGTACAGGATGGAGAAGTGGCACCAGAAAAATCAAAGCTAATGCCTAGATCATGAGAAATGTGACAATTTGCAATAAATACATTTCATTTCACTCCAAATAAAGAATATAAAACTCTTAGTTCTAATATTTGTTTTCTAAAATATAGGCCAACTGTACAAGCCATAATCCTTCAAACATGTTCACTTTATGCATTATATCACTATAATAAAATCTTCAATGATACATGCCTCATTCAACCTTGCACTTCACCACTAAACTGGACTTTGTTCTCTTCCAAACTAAATAAAAGGTAAAAGAAACTACCAACTTTATCAGAACTTAAATGGAAAGTAAGAGTTTGAAAGTTTCGTTCCTCCAACCACTCGGGGTGTGAGTGCCTTTATTATTTATTTTTAGGCTTTTTCCTCTCTGATTTAAATTTTCTTTCAGCGAGAATGTGTTTTAAATCTTATTGTTTATCATCTCATTTTTTGTAATAAAATTTTTCTTTATTGACCAGGGTTTCTTACAACTAGTCAAAAATGCTTGTCATCTTTTTTTAACAGAACAACATTAAAAAAGAATGCCAACTTTTCACCATGCCTCATCTAATTACTTACAATAATTTGTTCAAAGAAACAAAAGCATAAATGATCAATAAAATAGAAAAAACGAAAGCATAATTAAAAGAAAACTCTTACCATCCGACAAGATGAAGGGTCTAACAGCTGGATGTGGGAATTACTTAAACCAACAGCAAGATGTACTCCATCCGGTGCCCATCTGACACTTGTCACATGCCCAATTTCCTCATCAATCACAACAAGTGCAGAAGTAGCGCCATTAGCAGCATTCCACAAATATACTGAATTCCCAAAAGCGATAGCGACAATGTTACTGCTACTCCAATCAAGTAAATTCAAATAAAACTCATCTAGGAGCTCAGAAGCAACAAGAATCCTTTCTGGAGACTGTTAAATTACCAAACAAACACATGTCAACAAGAAAGCAATCAATCCAAAACACAAATCAGAATGAGAGCTTAGCAACAAGAAAAAGAAAAAGGAAAGAAAGAAGACCCACTTGGGGAATATATCTCCTAGACTTGTTCTTAAAAGCAAGGATCCTCTTCCTGTAAGCTTCTTTGGCTGGAGAGCATGGTGTTTGGCTTTCCTTTCTTACCATCCCACCGTTGAGCATGTAATGTGCAAAATCAAAATCCATTGCAGATTGGTTGGGAATAAACTTATCCAGCTGCCATCCCAAAAGAACAAGATTAGTGTGAATTTGCAATAAAACCTATATATATATAAAGGCAAAATGACAGGAAAAAATCAGCCATAGAGTTTAAAACCCCGGAGCAGAAAGAGAAGCCTATTGCGATGACAAAAGAAGGCAGGCAAAGATATTAAAAAAAAAAAAGAGAGTATATTTTGAAATCTAATATTTTCTTTATGTGGAACACAAAAACAAAACTTGAAACTGTCGTTACTGTCTTCTACAACTATTTTGGTTCCTTTCGAGTAAAAATTCTTTGTAATCCAAGACAATAGGACATATGATAATATTACATTATTATCTCTTTTCCTCACTTAGAAACCTAACAACTGGAGAAATGAAAATGCTTACCGGTTCACCTTATAGCCTGTTGGCTTATGGTTTGAATTATAAACCCACTAGTCAAGGTTCGAGACTGGTATATATAAAGAGGAAGCTATATGAGAAGTCACAGATGTTAGATTGTGAATCTTTTGGTCATTCTACCCAATCTTGCTCTTCTAAGCCCACTACTAAGCATACACAAAAATGGAGAATGAAGGAGGACGGCTAGACCTAATTCGAATTAGTGGGAGGAAGTTATAAGGGAAAAAGGGAGAAGTGTTGTGGATCCCCCCAATGAGGAATTGTGAAAGGAAAGCCCTAAAATGGCTATACCTATTGCTTCATTATCAAATATATTTGAATTCCCTTCTTCTTTTGATGTGTCTTTGATCACAATCTCATTACACCTCTCTCAAGAGATTATGGGACCTATTGATTATTTGAACTTTATTGGGTCTGTTTCTCTGAATAAAGAAAGAACTACGTAAATCCAAATTTATACAAATAGAAACAAAAACATATTGAGTGTGTTTTCCTTGAATCTTCATGTTGAATCCCATGGAAATCCAAACCAAGAAACCTACAGGACCATGACTTAAAAAATTATCTAATGATGTAAAAAATTCCAGTCGTGCAGAATCTATACAAGTTGAACAAATAAACCCTAAATTTCTGAAAACTTATATTCATAGACAATAAACCATCCAAATATGCTAAAGAAACCCTCACGTGAAATAAAATCAAAATCTAAGAAATTAATGGGAACATCAACCACAAAAATCTAAAGATATTGCAAACAACACTAGATATCGTCAAAAAAAAAAAAAAAAAAAAAAAGAAACATTCAAACATTAGAGGAAGAAACCGTAGTTCACAGTAAATCCAAAAGTCCAAGAAATTCACGAAGACAAACAAAAGAAAGAAAATCAAAAGGGATTCGATACAAAAGCTAAAAGAATTTATACTTTTCTCGTTTTCTTGAATTCATTGCAACGAAACAGAAAGCCGAAAATTTCAATTGGTTTGCGAACATACATAAACACACACAAGCAGATGGAAACACATACTTTTTCGCACAAATTTTACCTTCGAAGTTTCTGATCGGAGAGAGGGAATCGCGACGTTTTTGTGTCCAATTCCTGAATCCAAAATTGATGTTTTAGGAACAGCATATATATATATATATATATAGGGATCGAAATTGTATAAAAACAGAGTAGAAATCCCAGCAAAATGATGAACAAGACTAGAGAGAGAGAGAGAGAGAGAGCAGGAGAGCGTTGATGAATGAGTTGGGTTTAAGAGAAAATTAGCAAATTGTGAGTAAGGTTTTTTTGCGCGAAAATATTTGATTTCAGCAAATATTGCAACGGCCGAAAGCTACTCATAAAAGCGGTTGAACCGCCTTACATTTATATTATTATGATTACTATTTTTATTATTACTATTAGAGTAGTGAAAAAAAAAATAAAAAATCTCAGTCTTTCATTTTTCTCACTTATTATCGGCAACGAAATTAAATAAAATCTCAAAAACTAATTCTAAACAATGGACTATACTAATTAAATATAATATAAATAAAAATAAAAGTTCATGAAAATATTACATATATATATATATATATATATATATATATATATATATATATATATATATATAGGACTTGATGAAAAAATACATACTCTGAAAATTTTAAGAGTTGTGGCTTAGCATTGATCGTTTGGTTTAGAGAGCGAAATGTTGTAACTAAGAAACCCTTAAGAGAGAGAGAGAGAAACGAACGGGGCGTTTTTATGTATGTATGCGTCAAAGAGAGAAGGAAAGAGGAAGACGACGCTAACGTGGAAGAATATGATTCGTTTGATGGAGACTGACAACGCGGAATACAAAAAAGGGTCTGCTGATAGGGAGAGTTTAAGGACGAAAAGGGATTAATTTTTGATACGGAATGTTAAAAGACGAGTTTGGACTCTGGCATTCTCTATACTTTCCCAAAAATCAGAAAAAGTTTTTACGTCATTCATTAATACACGTGTAGCTCGGGCAACGTGAGAACTTGCATTTACGCTTATTACGGTTTAAATGTATGAAGAACGTGAGAACTTGCATTAACTCATTAAACAACATATCAACAACTTCTCCTCCACAACAATCAATCAAAACCTCCACATACGATGATCCAATACTCCCGTGCTTTCAACATTTTAAAACAAGAAATAAAAATGGCCTCCACATGGGCTGATGTAGCAATAAGGTAATAAAGTTCAAGATACACCATAAAATTGGTCACTTAAAGGCATGTGACCCCCCCGAGTATGAGTATAAAAAGCATTACAAATGTGCAATCATAAAAGAATTTTATCGAACATAAAGACCATATAACTTACAAATTTGATGTACTTGATAGCCATGCAATCGACGCTCCCGTTGTCTTTTCCCAGCCCCTAGCGGGAAGATTACATTTGAAGTACATGCAAATCAATTAAAGAAAATATAACACCAAAATATTGTACAAGTGGAGATGGTTAAATGAAAAAACTCAAAAATAAGGGACATATGAGCAGACAACTTTTTTATTAGGCGCTAGTAACCAAAAGCAAGACTCTAAACAAAATAAATAAATAAATGGGGTAACAGTAGTCAACTAAGATTATAGCAAAATCCTTTTTATTACTGTTTCTTTATTTTTTTATTTTTTTAATTGATTGGACTATTTGGACCACCAAAAATCAGAAGGAAGCCCAAAAATTTATTTGAAACAAATTTTCCCAGAAATACATACTTCCCTTCGAAAAATCAATAAAAAAGAAATTCTCAAACAATTTGCATGAAACCAAGTCCATTGGAAGCTTAAACACACAATTTTTCTTCTATCAATTTAAATCAATAAATTTTCTTACCGATTAAATCAGGTTTGAAGGAAAAGATAGGAAAAATTCTGCTTACAAAACAAGGATCATAGCATGTTAAGATCAACTTCAAAAATCCATACTAATTTCAAAATCCAATCAATTTGAGCCAAAACAAAAACCTGTAAACTCATTAATAATAACTGATATCACATAATTTGAAGTGATTATTGTCAATTATGCTCGTGAGTTTGAAACGTATTCGTTCACGTGATCTTTTACAGGTTTTGGACATTTAATAGAGAAACAAACAAGTCTTTTTCTTTGTCATTGTATAAAAAAGAACAAGTGATAAATACCAAAAAGTGCCATACATACCTCATCGGTTCGCAACATAACAAATTGGTCTCTGCTGGTTATATATGACAACACCTCACTTCAGGGACGGATATAAGTTCAAAATCCTTAATAAAGTAGTCCCCAAAGGCTTTGGACATTGCCAATCTGGGGCATTCCTCATTCAACAGCCAAATTTTGTGCACCACAGGCTTGTCGTTTAAACTGAACACTCTCCCTTTGTACTGATTTATCCATTCAGCCTCATCTGTCAAACAATGTTGATAATGTAAACACAATGTTCATATAATTTTTGAGACACAGAGAAAGTGAGGAAGAGAGAGACTCACGAGGTAAATTGTGGTTGAAATAACAGTAAGCTGAACAGGCACCAAGCTGCCATCTCCGGTTGTGATAGCCAATATGCTAAAGAAACCCTCACGTTTGCTATAAATATATGTTCACCCAAAATATTTCAATTTAGGATAATAGGAAGATCAGGTCTGGTACAAATTTTGGGGAAAAATATATCTGCAACAATTCTCCATTAAAAAAAATATAAAAAAAGATAAACACTAGAATTGAACTTCAAAAAGCTATTTTTATTAATTGACGCTCTCTGGCACGCATACGATAAATTAGACACCTGAGAATAGTTTATGTGAATAAGTATATTGCGTGCTCTAGCATTGTGAGGAAACAAGTCATAGTGACTTTAATATGATGTTATTTTCCTAGCCTTCCGTAAGCATGTAACATGTAAGCCCGTCCATTGTCACATAATCCCATAACTTCCTTGCTTTCACGACCCTCTAGCTGCCAGAAAACTCACACACCTATGATTTTTAAATAACACTCCACATAAGACTCATACGAGGACCCAGGAAAATAATTTCAATACCAAAATAAACCACCAGACGAATAATACAGATTCAACTTAGAATAAGTTACATGATACTTAGAAATGTTTTCTAATTAAGTTAGAAATACTATCACAACATAGTTATACTAATGCAGTAGGGGAGCTCCAAGGAATTAATAGTAATTACAAAATAATTCCATATTTAAGGCCTTAACACCTTACAAAATAACTCCATTAGAATTAGCAATTATATAACTATTCTATCCAGGTATAGGAGCCTAGCACTTTCGATGATTATGACCATTCTTGCCGCATCGCGAACAGTGTAACGACCTTACATTTTGAAATTGTGATTCGATTCGTTTAATACGAGGTCGTCCAGGGGGACGTGTTACCGCAGGAGGCCTAAGATGGGAAGCACCTTCACCGTCAGCAGCAGCAGCAGCAGCAACAGCAGCTGGATTCGGCATATCATGCATGGGGACAGAAGACGTGAGATGTTCGCATAGTTTTTGTTATGTTTCAACCCTAAACCATGGATCAACCATCTCATAAATATTTAAAGATAATTCATAGATGGCATAGCATGCATGCGAACAAGGAATCCCACTCATGGTCCACTTCAAACAACTACAAGAATTTTCACTGCCAAATACCACCCTGAATGGTTTTCTGTCTCGATCATATATTGTACACTTAATAGGCGAAACACGCATCGACTGAAAACCAAGTGCTAAGTCTTGGATTTTCTCCTCAATACGATCCCCAACCGGGATAGTCCACTTCTGAACGTCCAAACTCTTTTGGTATAAAAATTTGCTGAGTCTTTGCATGTGTGTATCCATCAGCCTTGTGATTGAAAAAACCCTCTCTTCTTTCACCCATGCATTGAAGGACTCTGCTTGATTGGTGTATAATTTATCCCAACGCTTGGAAATAAACATAACATTTGACCAATGTTCAGGTGAATTCGCCAAAACCCAATCGCACAACTCCCCTCGAAATACCCGCATGGCAGCCAATGCATTCTCATACTCATCTACAGTTCGAGCATATGCAATTTTATCGAGTAATTTTTTCGCATGCTCTTTACCCGAAGCCCTCAATCCTAAACTTTGTCTCCCAAGAATGGATGTAGAAAAATTCGCCGTTAGGTGACGAAGACACCATGAGTGGTATTGGGAGCCAAAAATATCTCTAATACAGCTTATTAGGCTCGGATGCTTGTCGGTTAAGATTGTCACAATGCGACCATCTAGAATCTCTTTCACCTTGCTCAAGAACCAATGCCAATCATCATCATTCTCAGAAGAAACAACAGCATACGCCAAAGGCCACAAGCCATCATTCGCATCGAACCCTGTTGCATCAAGCATTGTTCCTTTATAATTGCCACTCAAGTGGCAAGCATCGATTGCTAACATGGGCTTGCAATAGTTGATGAAACCTTGTATGGAGCACCCATAAGCTACAAACACTCGCTTCAATCTCCTATCATCCGTGCACTCCCACGATGTAATTGTCCCTGGAATATATTCTGCTATTCGTTCACACGACCACGGGACTAAAATATAGCTATCCTTGGGATTTCCCTCTATGATATGACGTGCACACTCCTTAGCTCTCCACAATTGCATGTAAGTCATTTTAGCAGAAAATTCACCGTTTATGTCTGTGGAAATAGTCTTGGGGGTGCATTTAGGATTGTCCTTAACCTTGTTCACAATAGCTCGACCCATTTCCTTCGACCAAAAAATGGCTTTATAATCTGAAATGTCTTGAGCAGTGTGAGTGTGAACATTATTAAACCACTTGATTCTCACTATATCACCACTTCCTTCACAACCAGCTGACAATTTCCATGGACAATTATTAACCTCGCACACAACTCTATAATATTTTTTGCTATTGTCCAAGTACTTGAATCGAAAATGATTACGAAGACCAAACAAAACGAGTGCATCTTTGAAATCATTTGGGCTGTCAAAAAGCTGATCCACGCAAAGAATGTCATCAATGTGTCGGAAAGAATCTCGATGCGCATTTATCGGAGGAAATGAAGACGTTGACGCAACACTTTGCAGAAGACCAATTGGCGATGTGGCTTCAACAAATTGTCTACAAGTGGATAAAAAGGTATATTAAAAATCACATAACCTATGCAGTGCATACATCAATGTATTACTTTAAATATATGTGTCTTACCTTTCACTATGATCAGTAAGAATTGTGCATGATGCAATTACAGGCGCTGCATCTTCCATATACACATTTAGCATGGGACCACTCACTACAAGCATCATTCTAAATCCAGATTCTCCCGTCATCCTCAAAAGTTCATTCTTGTTAGATTCAGTGGTATAATATATGACTTTACTACTCATGTTTGAAGATGAACGTTGTTGTAACTCATTTATAAATGATTCATATGTTGTTGTTGTTGTTATCATAAAAGGGTCTGTGACACCGCCGATGTATATAATTTCCCCATTCTCATTTTTGTCAATTGTCCCATCAAATCGACAATAGCATATAATTTGTCTCTCATCCATTTCTCCAACTGCTTCAAAAATTGACTCATTAGTTAAAAAAAAAAAAAAACTAAATATGAAGTTCAAAAAATAATGAAATATAAAATAATTAAATATCATAATTATATAATGTAATTTAGAGATCTATTTACAGCGAAACACTACCAATTCCCTCAATAGGGATAGGCGGTGTCAAGATTAAACTTTTCCTAAACACACACTATAGACTTTTTTCAAATCAAAATACAACCACAAAATCAATGCCATTGATTACTAGATAATTGTATCACTATGTGTACAACAAACATATATACAAGATGAGGGAGATTATGAGATGAATAGAGAGTTAAATGGGACAATATAAATTGAAAATAAAAAATTGAGAGTTAAATAGAGAGAGAGCAGAGTGTTGAATATTTTTCACACACATAATTTATATGTGTAAGTTTTGAAAATGGGGGAGACAAGTACAAGGGAATGTTGGAATAATAAATTAATACTAAATACATTTTTTTGATAAATTAATACTAAATACATATATTAAAAAAGCCTCATTTATAGAGTTTGCTAGCTTTTGCATCAATCCTATCATGTGCGTAGATGCCTAAAGACACATTACACAGAGGTATACTTTACATGCCATTTGAGAAAGAGGCAACAATCTTGAATAATTCTTGATCTAAATTGAGTTATAATAATTAATTATACATAAAAACTAATTGGACTACCTATGTGTTGGTGGCTTTGAATTTTAACTCCTAAATTCCTAGTTAAAGATTTAAGACTATGGAATGAAGAAATAAAATATGTGTATGTATATATATATGTATGTAATGTGTATATGTATATACACACACAACACTAGATCAAACTTAGAAGAAGTAATTTAAATATATAGAGAATGTTATCGTTAACAAAGGTTGGAATTTGAATAACTGACCAACAAATGATTTTCACACATCACCCATTATGACAAAGAAATATTATTTAATATAAAATAACCATCTATTACGTTGGATTATGATTTATAAACGTATTCAAATGAACACTTGCTGCTCATTGTTATCTTTGGAGTTTATGAGATAAAAGAAAGCTTTTTAAGGTTATCCTTTCCAACTTTTCTATTTCTTATACACTTTGTTTTCTTTTGCTTAACGAAGTATGCCTCCAAGATCACATGTTTTTGAGTCATTTTGACAAATCCATTAAGAGAATAATAATCCACATCAATGGAGCACTGTTTATTTAATTTGCTTCAAAACTGAGGTCCACATTCTACAATGATGAGCAGCAAATTAAGATAAATAGGATGATGAAACCTATATGCTACACACTCAGTCCAGCAGGAAATGATTGAACTATTGCCTACTTTGGTGTCCAGGGCAGGCTAAGAGGTCTCCATCTAATTTAATTATTTAAAAATTGCTAAAATTTAAAGAAATTTTAGTATAATATTGGTTATCTAATTTTAAATGATTTAGCGACGTTAAATAAATAAAATCTAAAGGTCTTAATCCACCAAAATCCAAACTTGATCTCAAATTTTTTATAAGCATTTGATATCAAATTTTTTGGATTTCCATGTTGAGACTAATCCTAAAAGGCTCGTAAACTGATCCAACAAGTCCACCATCAAATACTTATATATGTTTTTTTCTTTTTTCAAAAGCAAAGGAGCATAGATTAATGACGAAAAGAAATAAAATCCAATTGCAATATGTTCAATATATACACACAGATATATATACATATGTGTGCATGTGTTCACGAGTGTGTGTGAAAAAGGAATCAAGACGAAGGAATTGAACAGAAAAAGTTACGATTTGCTTACTGATCAGACAAAGGAATCTGAGCCATGTGTTATCATTTAGGGCTTAAGACTTGCTTCGATTGATGGCAAACTGGAGGAGGTTTGATTGAAAGTGTATCAGTCTTTAATGAATAATACCACAAACATAAATATGCATATATTTCAGATTCATCAACACAAATAATCCTAGTTAGTTGTTAGGATAATAAGACTTCAAAGCCACACAAGTGGCATAATTCATAATTCATCTAATGATAATTTATATGAAGTAAATTAAGTTTCTTCAGGTCTCTGACTTTTAAGCTGTTTCTCAACTGTGCCTTAGTTTTATTTGATTATAGGTTTTGATTTTTCTTTGTTCAGTAGTTGATTAATGCTAAGGATCAGCTGATATGCTGAGTTGGTGGTATGTTGCACCGTGGCAGAATACTCTAATTGGTTTAATATATTATCTTGCACCAGTATGTATTTAGTAGTTCTGCTTATGTGAACAAATGATTCTTGTATGTGAACAAATGATTCTTGGGGACAGGCAGTAAAACACATTACCAATTAGGTTCTGCTGAGGATTTAGTCTGCAGTCATCAAAGAGCCTTGAATATATAGCTTGAATGAAAAAAGCTACCAAAACAAATAAAATCATTCTTCTTTGGCCCTCTGACTATGTGGGCATGGAAGATTCCCGTAAATAGTCTGGTTATCTTAAAATTGAACAAATTGTTAAGTTTCAGAATTCTTTCTAATAGGAACCATTTTTTATTTTTTGTATTACTTACTTTTTCCACTTCTATTACCACCCTTCCCCATCCAAGCGACTCAGCTTGAGTGGTATCTCATGTCGCTTCCAAATAAGGATTCAATTTCCATGTAAAAAATAATAGTAAAAAATTGATAAATTCTGACTCTTTTTGTAGGAGGATACAGATATAGCTGATTTTACATAGATATTATTTTCTAACGGAGTGAATTGATACTACTCATAGCTATCGAGCAATATTGTGGTGTGTATTGGTTGTAACTGACAATGTGAATTTAAAATTTCAAATGGATATAACCATGGTCAGTATTAATGGTTTTAACTAAATTTTGATATTTCCATTAAAATGGTATCTCTCTTTGATTTTGGATC